GCCTCGCATGTATGGCTAGATTTACCCCAGAGTCTATCTTGGTGGTGCGACCACTAATGTTCCCTGGAGATAAGGATCGAGTCAGGACCGCCTGCTCAAAGCATAAGCATGCACGTTCTATGATAAAATATTGTATGTTTGTGGAATGGTCGTGTATTCATCCACCATAATTCAGCTTACCAAAAGCAGAGGTCCTAAAATGCTTCATCAAGCTGATCAATCCTGCCAGTCCTGTGCAATCAGCTTTGCAAGTAATGTCAGAACTCCAACATCACTTTTGTTACACTGCAGAGCCACGTTCCCCGGTTACAAACATGCTAGAGCTCTTTTGTATAGATTTTATGCTGAGAACACAGCACAGCTTGACCAATGCAAAAAGAAAAGACGCACTATAGAGCCCAACAAGTCCTGGAGGGACTTTAGTATACTGACCACTGTAAATAAAAAAACAAAAAATGATAGAAATTCAGCATATTCAGACAGTCGAGGTAATGAGGTCACCAGTACACCGAGGTTCATGTGGACCTCAGTATGCTGGTGACCTCATTACCTCGACTGTCTTTACAGCGCCATCTGCTGGCCATTTTAGCACACACAACATTTGCAAGAAAAGATATGAAGGCGTGGAGTGCAGTGGGATATCTTTAACATATTCAGACAGGGAGGCATGGAGACATCACTAACGAGAGCACTCAGAGCCTACCTGTGGCCAGGACAGTCCATGGTAAAAGTAATACTTCATCTGGTAGTTTTCTGGCAAACACAGCAAGTTGCAGTGCTGCATATTCATCAGGTCCTCGGGCTGTAGGGACAAGACCAACAAATTAGTACAGAAAGTATGGAGAGAGGAAAAAACGCAGATTACACTAGAGCTGCAACAATAATTCGATTAAGTCGAACAAAATCGACGATGGAAAACGTTGTCAAGCTTGAAGAATGATAGCGCACCATGGTAGAAGGAGGCAGCCATGGCACCTCAGGCTACCAGGGGGAACAATGACAGCCCACCATGGTAGAAGGAGGCAGCCATGACACCTCAGGCTAGCAGAGAGGGGGACAATGACAGCCCACCATGGTAGCAGGAGGCAGCCATGACAACTTAGGCAAGGGGGGAAATGATAGCCCACCATGATAGAAGGAGGCAGCCATGACAGCTCAGGCACAGGGGGGACAATGGCAGCCGACCATGGTAGAAGGAGGCAGCCGTGACAGCTCAGGCTAGCAGGGGGAAGAATGATAGCCCAAGATGGTAGAAGGAGGCAGCCATGGCACCTCAGGCTAGCAGGTGGAACAATGCTCTCCACCTGCACTAGGGGCCTTCCTGTCGCCTCCAAACAGGCAGCTTGTGTCTATCCACATTATTGGCCATTACAAGTCCTTAACACCCTGCAGAGCACAAGACCTGGACTAGCACACCATGCCTGTGCATGCCCAGCAGCAAAGCATCATGGGAAAGTCAGCCATATTACTCCCAGGCCCCACTCCAATGAATTGAAGACAAGCACGCTCCGTTTTCATATAACCTCGTTACTGAGCGCGCTCACATTTCCCGGGACAGCCCCCAACCTCTCAGCACATATATCTCCCCTGAATTATTAGCTCACCCGCGCGTTCCGGATATTCATGGCGCCGGTGTCTGCAAGAATTGATCGGTTCAGGAGAGGGGCGGAGAATCAGAAGTCACGTGAGTGGGACGCATGGCCGGGTGGGCGTTAACCCGGAAGTAATGTCAACAGGGAACAGGAAGTGGGTGGGCGTATAGTGAGAAAACAAACCTAACCATTTGTGGAGTTTGCTGGGTGTAACAACGGGCGCACAGTCAGTTTGGAGAAGCATCATCGTTGTAGAGTTATGTGTGGGAAACACCCCTACCCACATCTGAACCTCTGCCTTACCCCCAACACTACCCTTAGAACACAACCTGTTTCTGACCACTCTTATCCATATCATCCCCCTCTGCACTATATCTGGCAATCCTTACAAGGTATCCCAATTGTGGTCACCCTTACCACAACACCATGCCCATTCTGCAACCCACAGTTTGTCAGCCTTACAACACAACTTGTTTCTGGCAGGGCACTACCTGCATCTAGCAACACTAAGGCCCCATTCACACTGAGCGACATGAAAATCGCGTGATTTTATATGTGCGACATCGCACGACTTTTTCCTATTGGGCTGTATGCAATCAGGAGCAAAATCGCTCAAAATCCACAGAAAAATGGGTCATGTAGGAGCGACAAGCTACAGCGACGAGCTACAAGCGATATTGAACGGCGAGATGTGAACAACTCCATTAAAATGGATTGGAGAAGCTATATAGAGCGATATCGCTGAAAAAAATCGCTCAGTGTGAATGGGGCCTAACTCATTTCACCACACCCATCTAGCAACTCTTCCACACACACCACTAACCACCCCCTAGGGCCCAAGCCCTAGCAGTTTTACCCTTGATCTGTTTATGGCCAAGGGTAGCACAACCAGCATCTTACACCACACCCATCTAGCATCTCTTACACACAGCACCACCCTAGAGGTCAGGAAACACTACCCCAACCAGTATCAGCCATGATCTATTTATGACCCAGCCTCATCCTGCCCCCACCATCACCTTAGTGCCACCCATGACACCACATTATACCAACCAGCACCACCCTAGGTGGTCTTCCCCATTTTACAACACTGTTGGAAGCTAAAATAATTGACATCTATGATACATCTTTGATGGAAAGTAAACCCTACACTTATTTAAGATTCAGTTGTTCATCAGTAATTGAAGGCACCCCCGAATCAGAGCACATTCTACAAACACCCTATGGTCAAGGGACACAATCCCCTTTTGGCCAGCCTTGCCCCCTAATAGCATCTGTCTTTGACCACCCTACAGCCAAGGGAGTGCACACATATATGGCTAGCCTTACCCATTACACCACCCAACAACTCTAGGAGCCAATGGACACTACTGCCACCACCCCCATCTTGCCAGCCTTACCCATTACACCACCCTTGTGCGGCAACCCTTACCCACAACACCACCCTAGGGGCCAAGGGACAATGTTCACACCTTACACACAGCACAACCTGTTTCTGACCACTTTATGGCTAAAGAACACCACAACGATACTTAGCCACCCAATCCCTGCAGCAAATTCCCCTACTATACCAGTGATTGGAAGGGGACGAAGTCTCTATGGCAGAGGTAGTAAATTAAAATTCAAGGCGGTCCGGTGAGCAAAAATTCAGTCCATTTCTGGACCTCAGTCTGCCATTTAGGTTGCATTCACACCAGCAGCTGCACTGCAATACACAGCTGCTGTGTTTTCAGAGACACAGTGCTGATGTATTGATCCGAGCACATCACACTTTTGTTTGTTAGAACTTTATTGAAATGTCATAAGTGACATTTCATTAAGTTCTATGGGTGCAGCAGTGTGATGCGGTTGTACCACATTGTGGCTGGCTTCACTGAAAAAAGTACAGCAACCATTAGCGTGCCCCCTTAAATTGTTTGTCCCCATCAGAGTATCTCCTTACATGCGTTCTTGTGCGTTTGGCCTCTGGAACGCAAGCTGACAGGCTCCCTGCGTTCAAGGGCGTGGCGGTGCAATGAAGTAAATGGCACCTAAGCCACGCCTCCCTACCCGCAGTGCGATCAGCCGCACCCGGAACGTAGGCACATTAGTGCTTGTGTTCCGGTCCAGTGCGATCTGCAAAAATAGTGCTTGCAGTATTTTTGCAGATCGCACTGAACTGGAACGCTAGCACTAATGTGCACTGACTTCAATGCACCGCCACGCCCCTGAACGCAGGGAGCCATACTTTGTGGTGTTAAAGCGAAAACCAAAACTTTTTGTCAGTTTTGGGTAAAGTAAGGGAGTTAAGGGCCCATTCACACCACATCCAGATCATCACCAGACCAGGTTGTTTCCGGACCCAAAATGCATCCTAATGTATCCCTATGCTATTTCTGGCCTCACACCAGCGCAGTCCGTTCAAGACCAGACCAGAGAAAATACTGTATGTCTCATTTTGTATGGTCTGGAAAGCACTGGAACGCATAGAGGTGCATCAAAACCGCATGGAATGCACTGGACCGAACCTGAAAGCCCATTTTAAGCTTAAAAAAAACAGCTCCGGAAGAGGCACAATCGCAGCAAACACGCGCTGCACTGCGTTCCAGATCTGGTCTGGAAAATGGTGTGAACCTAGCCTAAGGGAGGGTTATAACCCCTATCAGGTTTTTTTTTTTGCTGTGTCCCATTTGGGAGATTTTGCTTCACCTCTTGCCACAACAGGAAGTGAGGAGAAATCCCTCCAAAGTGAGTGAAATCCCTGAAAGTCAGCAGCAGGAACTAACGTCCCTATTCCTGTTCTGGTTACCATTAATGGTGGGCTCTTTTTTCACTTTCAGTGAACAGGACAGAGTAGGGTTGCCACCTTTTCTTCAAGCGAAACCCGAACACTCTGGCGACACGTGGATATTTTTTTTGGAGAATGAGTCGCGGCATATTCATATGTAATTAGTGCAACCTGTTAATATGTAAATATCACTATTTTCAGTGGGGGGGCGTTAGCCCCTATCTTAATTTTGGTTGCCCCTGTCTGTCTGACATCTTTTGTCTGGGTTTCTGCTGCCATTAAACCCGGACACAGCATTCAAAACCCGAACTGTCCGGGTGAATCCCGGACAGGTGGCAACCCTAGGACAGAGAGGGTGAATCCCCTAATGGGGACACAGACAACAATAGAAGCCTGACAGATCTTGTAATCCCTCTTTACTCTATCCAAAACTAAAACGTTTTGGCTTCATTTGCACTTTAAAAGCTGCCGATTTAAACATTTTCGGTACCAAAGACCTCTGTTAAAAACACTAGTGCATCTTAAAATGTACTTGCAGCGTTTATTTTGCTAAATGTCTGACAACCAACAAAATGGCGGCTGTTATTTCAAACAACTTTATTGTTCCTAGTGCGTCGCTGGAGTGTGACGCTGATACTAGGAGGAGTTACCAGACTAATGGCGTCGGGAAGGCCTAAGTCCTATCAGCTTCCGAACCCTCGGTTTTTGCGGGCCCAGTCCGGGCTCTGCTGTCCCTTTCTCATCCCCTGACCGCCGGCGGCTCTCTGGTTTCTCTGGGCGCCTTTCCTCGGCATTCCTCCTACGGACCCCGCTCGGCGTGCATGTGCCGTGTCAGGCCTCGGGCTCAGGTAAAAGCGCGCGGCCGGGCTCGTCACAGATCGTTTGCGGGCTGGCGGAGTAAATATTGTGGTGTAATCCCCCCCACAGCGCCGCGCGTTCGGCAGAGAGCTGGTCCTTTGTGTGATTAGGCCCCTTTGTGTGAGTATCCTGGTTACTGTTGTTGATGATGCACTATAAGTAAAGTGGAAGTCCAGTCATGGAGACTTCAGTTGGTGTGTGTGTGACAGATTGTAGTATAATACAATGTATATTATGAGTCCTGTTGCAGTAACTGACTCGGACCTGGGGAGGAGGGGTCTGCAGGTCCGACGGACCCTGGGAGGAGGGGTCTGCAGTAACTGACTCGGACCCTGGGAGGAGGGGTCTGCAGGTCCGACGGACCCGGGAGGAAGGGTCTGTGCATTGCACTTGTGTTTCACTTAGTGCAGTTGCAATGCTCTTCAGACTTCAGTGTGTAAATGAAATAAATGCATATTGTTGTTTTTTTTTATTAATATGATGTGATTTATTACATTTTTGTTAAAGGTTGATCATGACTTTAACCAGATAAATATAGGTTGTTGGGGACTTGCTTTACGTGTCTAAACACTGGACATCATGGTGCATATGTGGAAACACTTGTGTCCACATGCCCGCTGTGTGTTTATATATTAAATACTGTTGTGGATCTGTGATTGTGTCAGAACTTCAGAAAAATAGATGGAGCATGAATGACTATTAAATATAAAAAGGCGTGCAATTGTGTTCCATTGCAAAATGTCATGGAAATTGCTGTAAGCGTCCTTAGGTTAAAAAAATAAGTCAAGTTGGCCATTTTGGTTTTTAACCTGTAGTGAGTCCCCTCTTCTACATATTCTAATTCTGCATATTAATCTTTTTTTTTCCCCTCAGGGTACCTGCATGATCACGCCTCAGTGACCTCTCAGACCAGTGTGGAAGGACTCTCGGGAAGTGCTTATTCCTTTTTGTGTCTTCATTATCAGGCCTATGGTGGCTTTACTGGTATTCTGGAAGTGAGGAATAATTTTATGCTCGCACAAGATGGCATCTGTTCCAGTGTATTGCTTGTGCCGCCTTCCATACGATGTGACACGGTTTATGATTGAGTGTGATGTTTGTCAAGACTGGTTCCATGGCAGGTGAGTGACATAATGCTTGATTATGGTGTCACCAAAAGTATTGGATAATGACAAATAATTGGACAGGGTGCAGTGTGTCAAAGATGGGTTGGTGATTGAGGCTTGGCGGATCAGAGATTGGTGGTGATATGCGGGTGTAGGTGCACTGGATGCAAGAATAACAGATTTGGATGTCTACTGGATCCAACACTAGTGGATGTGTGATGGACTGAAGCCATTTAACAATACATTTACCCTAGTTCATGCAAAATGTGACTGGCCATTAATTTGTCGGGTACTATTTGTAGGTTTTGTGGAATTGCTTTAAAATTGTCTTCATGTATTGACCAGCTCCTTTCCTTTTCCAGTTGCGTTGGAGTGGAGGAAGAAAAGGCATCAGATATTGATCTTTATCATTGTCCCAACTGCCAGATAACTCACGGGCCATCTGTTAGTAAGTACTTTTAGGTTTAGCATTCACAGGCCATCTGTTAGTAAGTACGTTAGGTTTAGCATTCACAGGCCATCTGTTAGTAAGTACTTTAGGTTTAGCATTCACGGGCCATCTGCTAGTAAGTACTTTAGGTTTAGCATTGACGGGCCATCTGCTAGTAAGTACGTTAGGTTTAGCATTCACGGGCCATCAGTTAGTAAGTACTTTAGGTTTAGCATTCATGGGCCATCTGCTAGTAAGTACTTTAGGTTTAGCATTCACGGGCCATCTGTTAGTAAGTACTTTAGGTTTAGCATTGAGGGTTCATCAGTTAGTAAGTACTTTAGGTTTAGCATTCACGGGACATCAGTTAGTAAGTACTTTAGGTTTAGCATTCACGGGGCATCTGCTAGTAAGTACGTTCGGTTTAGCATTCACGGGCCATCAGTTAATAAGTACGTTCGGTTTAGCATTCACGGGCCATCTGTTAGTAAGTACGTTCGGTTTAGCATTGACGGCCATCTGCTAGTAAGTACGTTAGGTTTAGCATTCACAGGCCATCAGTTAGTAAGTACTTTAGGTTTAGCATTCGATGGTAAAAGTTCTTCACGTTGCAATGTCCCCTTATATTGTTGAGGCTCCTCCCCCTGTAGAAAAAACACTAGCTCTTAGTTTGTCCAGAAGTTATCTGCAAAGGAAAAAAGTTACAGTACTTATTATACTGTCCTCATCAGTGACGTGCGGCACCTTTTTTGATTCCGGGTGAGGCATTCCCCAGTCCGCCGAAGCCCTGCCCCCCAACCCGGTCCCCAAGCTAGTGTGAAGGAGGGAGGGAGGAAGGAGCCTCCCTGTCCCTCACCTGCTCGTCACTGCTGAGGCATCGAGATCAATGGCCTCAGTGTTTTTTTTTTTCTTTTGATTGGACATCTTGGACCAATGGCACATTGCCATTGGTCAAAGCCATCCACCGAGCTCACGCCTCTAACACAGAGTAGCAGTGGGGAAGGCCGCTGCTGTGTAACCTAACTATGCGTCAAAAGCCGGATGCAGCGCTGCCTGTCATTAAAAGGCAGCGCTGCATCCATGACAGGTTATACGGCAGGGAGGCTTTCCCTGCTATGTAACCTGCTAGATGCCGATCTGAATGGAGGAAAAGCTGTCAGCTTCAGACTTGAAGAGAAGAGTTCATCCCCGGCAGTCTGTCGTTCCTAACAGGTGTAAGTCGTAACAATGAGCACTAAGTCAAGACCTTGCTTTTGCAATTAAGATTTTTCTCTCTTGACTTTTTTTCCTTTAGTGAAACGTCGGCGAGGGAGTTCCAAGCAAGATCTCGCTGTGAGCAAGGATGTGAGCAAGGATGTGGGGAAGCCAGTGCAGACAGGCAGCGCAAGTTTCATTAAGGAATTAAGAAGCCGTAATTTCCCCAAGTAACTAAAGCAATTTGTTCATTGTTTCTTTTTCTCATGTTATTTCAATAGGATATGTATGTATGTATGTATGTATTTTTAATGGGTTTCATATTTTTTAATCAACTGGTTTGTAGGAGCTTTGTTCTAGAGCAGTGGTTCTCAACCTGTGTAACCTCAGGACCCACATTTGTCCTCGATCATTAAAGGAGAACGATACCTGTGACAGTCTCATTGTCACAGGTCGGCTAGAACTATGAGGTGAGTGAAAAGCACTCACCTCATAGTTCTCCTTTAAGCCGCGACCCAAGTCGCGCCGTACTGAAACACACGGCATTGCAGTACTTTGCGTTTCAGTGCGGGCGATCGAACTGTGGGTGGATGACGTCACTCCATTTTCCAATGCAGAGAGGTGCCAAGCAAAATTGGAATTGGTATTTATTTGAAACAAGAACATTAGAAAGCATTTTACTCATGGCAAGTCCTTTCCTTCTATTTACTGCTTTGCTTGGTTTTCTTATTTGTGAACCTGGGCAGCCAGTCACAGATTAAGAAATCACAATTTTATGCTTTCCACCAGATCAAGGGAACTTAGTGAAAGCAAGGCAACTTTGCTCCTGGGGGGTGGTAAAATCTTTACAGCACAAAATGACACTGTAATGCATTTCTTTAATTTCATGACTTCTGACTGATGTGTTTTGTCCCATCCAGCGCAGATGAGGTGATCCTGAAACCACAGGGGACTCAGCTGACTGTTGAGTATTTGGAAGAGAACAGCTTTAGTGTTCCAATCCTGGTTCTGAAGAAGGATGGGCTTGGGATGACCCTTCCTGCTTCTTCCTTCACAGTAAATGATGTGGAACATTATGTGGGTGAGTGAACATTTTGTTTGTTATGTAACATTAGATGCCCCTAAAAGATTTGTAAGGAGAGGAACATGTGCAACCACAGCTTGTAAATCTACAAAGTATATTGGAATTCACTGGCTGCTTGTCAATGGCAACTGTAGAAAGTACATATAACTGCTACCATGCAGGGGAAGTGAAGGGAAGCATCCCAGGGGGCTTCTGTTTAGGGTGGCCAAAGTAGAAGAACTTTTTGTTTTTTAAATAAGCACCTGTCTGAACATTTCCACTTTTCTTACAGGAGCAGAAAAGGAGATCGATGTGATTGATGTGGTTAGACAAGCTGACCTGAAGATGAAGTTGAAGGATTTTGTGAAATATTACAACAGCCCCAAGAGGGAAAAAGTGCTCAACGTGATCAGTTTGGAGTTTTCTGAGACAAGGTGTGTTTATCTGTCAAGTTACTGACCTTAGTTTTATTTTTAAAGTGATCCCTTTTCCAAAAGCAATATACAGACATTCCTCGTCCGATCGACCTTGCGTGTCGCCGGCGGAAGTGATGTCCTCCGCTCTTCACTGCGGGTCCTGGTAAGTATTTTGTTGCCCGATGTACAGTACACTGTTCGGTACTGTACATCTGCAACACTATACCATACTGTACTAATGCAGTACTGTATAGAGTTCCTCACTTAATGACCGATTCGTTTAACGACCTGGTCATAGGAACAGAGCTCGGTCGTCAAGTGAGGAATACCTGTAGTGTCTGTAAAATAACAGGTCACAATGGGCCTTCAAACCAACCCATGTTGCTTCAAGCGCTGTGGTCATGATGCTGATTTCCTCCCCTCCTTTTGGGCATGTCCACACATACGGGCATTTTGGCCTGAGGTTACTTCCTTCATGGAGGCTAGCCTTGTTTTCCCTAACATATGCAACCCTGCATTTTTGCCTCCTGGGTCTGTTTGGTGAGCTGCCATTAGCCTCGGGAGCTCAGACAATACTTCGCCTGCTTTTATTTTATGCTAGAAATGCTATTAAAAAAAAGAAAAGAACAAGTCACTCCTTATCACTGCCAAACAGTCTTCATCTGATACATTTCATGTGTGTCAGATGCCTGGTCACCATTTGCTTGCTGTGGTTCCTCCTGCTGACCCCCCTATGTCATGACCGGACACAGTAGTGATGTAGGGGCTGACAGAAGGAACCACAGTGTGAAGGGAACCAGGTATCCAACACACCTAGGACTGCATGGGATTCAGAAGATTGTCGCTTTAATAAATGTTTTTTTTTTAACTTTCTATGAAATGGTCATTTAAAACTTTTTTTTTTTTTTTTAAAGATGAACTATAATGCTTTTTGGTTTTTCTTTTTCTTTTTTTAAGATACTGCACCTGAAAACAACATGCATTAAGTTCATCTGTTATTCTGTAGTATTTTGTTCTTTTGCTCAGTTGTACTTGGGAATATGATTTTGTGTATTTTCTTTAACAGGTTGTCAAACCTTATTGAAACTCCAAAGATTGTGCGCAAGCTGTCCTGGGTGGAAAACCTGTGGCCAGAGCAAAGTGTGTTTGAAAGACCAAATGTGCAGAAGTACTGTTTGATGGGGGTCAAGGACAGCTATACAGATTTCCATATAGATTTTGGGGGGACATCGGTCTGGTATCATGTATTAAAGGTATGAATTGGAAGACCCTAAAGGAATGTCATACTAGCATTGTGCTTGTCTCTCTTTTCAATATGTAAGGCTTGATTTAAAATTACTAGGCTGAAATGGACACAATGTAAACCTATTCTGACTCCAATTGTTGTTTTAGCGATTTTATCCTTTGCTGAGATTTCTATGCCTGGCCTGTATAAGCAGATATAATCACTGCGGACAATCCTTATCAGATAGCTGAACTCACCATATAACTTTTCCATCCACAAAGGTGCTTCATTCTGTACATCAGGTTACAGCAGACAACAGGATACAGCAGATGAATGAATTGGTAGTATTTTAAGGCGGTCAAAGATGATAATGTTTCCAACCATGCAATGCAGATTAACATGTGGTCCTGTTAGAAGCAGCCATCACACTAGGAAATTACTATTGAAGAAGGGCGCGGCATAAACACACACGGTATATACATCATAGATGTGAGGGAAGGGAACACAGAAAAACATGTGCAATAACCAAAATGACCACTAGATGGCAGTATATGAACTTAGCCATACAATATCAATAAGTAAATGGCTTAACCACTTGAAGTCCGGGGTGTTAAACCCCCCCCCCCCCTTCCCATCAAGGCCATTTTTCAGTATTCAGCGCTGCGGTACTTTGACTGACATTTATTCTGTCATGCAACGCTGTACTGAAATTAATTTTATACCCTTTTTTTGGGGACAGATGGAGCTTTCTTTTGGTGGTCAGGGGTGTGGAATTCCTATCGCCCGGGACAGGCAGTTTCGGGCGTCGGGCGAGTAGTTTTTTTCTACATTTAGCCCGGCTGCGGGCAAGCAGCACTGCTAAATGTAGTGTGGGAGCTGTTTTGTACAAGTGATTTTAAACGGCTGTGCAGCCGTCCAAAAATCACTTGTAACCTGCCTGAATCACGCTTTTCCTCTCCTGACACAGGAATGCAGCCTTCCTGTCACAGGAGAAATAGCACAGAGCTGTGCTAGAACTCCTGTGTTGGAGGTGAGAGGGTCAATAAAGAGAACCTGTCACCTCCAAAAGCTATCACACAAGGGCTTGTTACCCTTGTGTGATAGCAATAAAGTCAAGTAAAAAATAAAATATATAACACTTAAAAAATTAAACATAAAATTGGAAAAAATAATAAAAATGTAAATACATAAAAATAGAAGGAAAAAAAAGGCGATAAAGTAAAATAAATAATGAAAAAAAATATTACAAACCAAAAAAAAAAGTTAAACAAAAACTAAAAAATTAAAACCAATCCCTATCATCTGCATGCAAATAAATTTGCACATGATCGCGATTGAAAACATTCTGAGATTACCACGCGGATGTAACCCCATTGAAATCAATGATGCCGCGAGGCAACCGTACACGGCCTCGCCCAAGTCTGCACCCGCCCCAAACGGTAAATTCACTTTCCCAAGTAATTTGGAAAAATGGAATTACCCGCACAAATCTGGTCCAGACACCATGCCCCACTATACTTACCTTTCAGGTAACGGTCCTTCCCATCCGCCAGTATGGGTGTACTATCTGTACCTGTGCCATTGTAATCTGAATTTCGCTCTCAAAATTCAAGCACTCGTTGGTCAGCGCAGGCATCTGACGGCACTGACCAACGAGAAGCTCTTCTTGGCATTGCTAAATACGGTTATGGTTA